TGGATTTGAACATCTTTGGCTCCGGTTACTTCACGACTAATGTATATTTATGAGTGGCACCTTTTGTACTTTATTTCAGCCTTCTTACGATTTTGATTTCAGAAATTTTAAACTAGTGGCACCTTACGCTGTGAAACGTCATCGTGATGATCTACATTTTACATATCTAGATACAACTGGGCGTCCAGTCATTGTACTTGAAAAACAAAATCTTGTGGATAGTCACATTCAGTCGTTTACGGTATATTTGTTCGCTTGAAAAGTTTTCCTTTCTTCTTTGGTTCTTTTTAATTTCCTTTGTTTTTCAGCTTTATTACGAATTTGACAAAATACAACTCTGCCGTGAGCCATTCTTAGCCTGTGCTGCATTTGCATTTTTATTCCTTATAGTGATCATATTCGTTCGGCTGGACTTTACCATAGTTACTGTAGGGTTCACACTAATATTTGCAATCGTTTTATTGCGTATTGTGGTCTGATTAAAACTATATGACCTTGATGCTTTTTATGCTTTTTTACAGCATGTTAGTTAGCTTTTAAGAGGCGGAACATCATTTCTTACCGTTATTACGCTTAGGATGCAGCTAAAGAAAGCCGAATGCAAGCCGAAGGAGTAGTTGAACAGTTAAATGAACTGCACGCCGATCGCTTGAGAATATACGATCATTTCTACGAAATAGTTCAAAAATACAAGAACAACAAGGTTAAAAGTTACTTGAATCGTCATTTCATTTTCACAATAGCTGAGAAAATAGCAAAAATACTCGGTGGTTTGCCGCAGCTATGCTAAGTAGCGTTCCCCATACCCCATACCCTTGATGGCTACCTTTTTCGTTCTCCATTTTCTTCATTGAATTCTCAATTCTTTCGAGCTTAAACTGCAGTTCCTGTTGGTGGTTCTAGACACTTTGTTTCAGGATGCCTCAGCTTTTAGCGCAAATAGGAAGAAGAACGAGGTTGAGATGAAAAAGGTTACGGAGTTGTTTTCAAATTTACAAAACGGATTAAAGTCGTCAAACCCTGACATTTATGAAAAGGTATGCATTTTAGAGACGCCTTTCTATTTCGTAAACTTTTAATTGATCTACGTGTTTCTGCAGCTCAATGAGATTTCTAAGTTGCATAAGAGTGCGGAAGAACAGATCAACAGTCTATGTAATCAGGTATTTCTTAATTTTGATTTCGTCAATACTTTGTTAACTTTGACTTTTTTTTTTTGTTTTTTTGATAGTAACAGTTATTAAGGCTGAACGTTCTGCGAAGACTGGTGGTAAAGCCGATTTAAACAGTGCAGAAAAACTATATTCTTCAAAGATGGGGGAAATCAAGGAGAAGATGGACTCAGTTATTTACTCCATTTAGGTCATTTTTCTTGCTTTCTCTACTGGTGTTGATTCGACCTAGTTTTTTTTTTCTTATTAACATTCTGGAGCCAATGTTACTTTTAATTTGGGTTTTTCATGTTTGTTGTTTCCTTCTAATTTTTTGCTGACTCAACTGCTTTTAGTCACAGTGCAGGCTCTTCAACCTTGGTTTTGTTTTTTTTTCTGTCACGACCATTGTTAGGAGCGGAATTTCATTACCTTTGAAGAGGGCCATATACTGCTGTCAGAAAAGGGCCATAATTTAGGTTATTATTTTGCGAACGTCGACAGCTTGTGGTGTATTTATTTTCACATCCAGTGTTTTTTTGGTCGCAAAGGGCACTTATTGCGGAAGTTGTTGATTTGTATTTAATTTATTATTACGTTTTCTTATTTTGTTAAATGCCTCTTGTTTAATAAACGTTGTTTGTGATATGGATTGACACTGCTATTTGGTATAAGCTCTCAACTCTGCTGAAGTTTTTTTGCCTACTCAAAAATTGCTGGAATTGGAAACAAACAAATGAGGTGGAGTAGAAGATTTCTGGTTTTTTAGATTATAGCCTGAATTGTAGATTTAATAATTAAGTTTTTTTACCCCTATGTCTTGTCAATATGTGGTTTTAAATGCATTATTTATATGAAAGGTTTGAATGTACAGCAGTGAGATTTCCGAGGTAGGCTTTCACTTAGTTCGGCCTAGGTTCTTAAGTAACAGTTCTGCTGGCTGAGTTTTCATTAACACTCACAGCTGATCAAATTTACGAGATTAAAAAGTGGCGGTTCCCACTTACGACAGCGGACAGAAGGGGGGAGAATTTGGTTTTTGGTTTTGAGGAGCAGCCAGGAATTTCCGGAGTGCTATCGTTGCTGTAATTGGTGAGAAGACATTTAACAGGCGGCAGTGTTTTGTATCCTTACGGGGTTTCCATTGAAATGTACTCAACTTTGAGTGTTTCTGTGCTATTTTTTGCTCGGTGCGGCATTTCTGCTTTAGTTTAAAGTCCTTTACTGTATGGTACAGGGTGGGAATACAACCAGATACGTGAGTACAAAGCAGAACTTAATCGACTAGCGAGTTTTGATTTGCTTTCACTGTTTTGGATACAGACTGAAGCGATTTAAAAAGTGTTGGATTGTTGGCTTTCTTCTTTGGTTCTGTGAAACTTTTGTTAGTAATGAGAAGTTTTCCAAAAAGGATTTTCCTCCGTAACTGCGAAGATTCTATTGAAATAATGGGATAAGATTCACTTTGGGTAATTGCTTTCAATTTATTTTATTGACGCTTGTAATGATTTATGAAGTACTGTAGGAAAGTAGGATTTCAGATGGGGACGATTTTTGGAACATTTTGAAGGGATGTTGTGATCATGTTACTGGTATCGCAAGATTCCAGTTTTGTTTGTTGTTCATTTTCCTGAGATATCTGTCATTCTTTGTGAATTTTTTGCAGTGAATTTGGCTGTTGTCTGTTGCTGGTATTTTGCACTTTGAACTTTGCTTGTCTGAATGAGTCAATATCCTTTAGGGAGGATCCAACTTTACGGAAATCTTGATTTTTTTTTTTTCTAATTTGACTTACCTCCATGTTTGTTTTCTTGCTTGTATGTGTTTCACGATTGCATTTGTGTTACTAGATTTAGGAAGTATTTGATTAAAATGTTTTTTTTTTTTTGGGGAGGACTTTTCTTCATTCATTTGCTAGTCAGCGACCGATTGTCGCCAGATAGTGTACTGGGTTTTCCAAAAGTTATATGCACGGTTTTTGAAAAAAAGAGAAGTAGAGCGAAGGACTTTAAGCATCAGCTTTTGGAGAATAAAGCCGTGGTTGAGGCGGATTATGACACAATCAAAAATAGATGTTGTATGATGACTTTGGTTGGCTAGACATTCGGCAAAACATGATTGAATCTTAAGTGAATCATCGTCTCCACCACATCCATTGAAGTTACTTAAGGCATTTGGGTGAACGTTGTTGAAGTCTATTCTTTATTTTTTTGTTTTTTAGGCGTTCTTCAAGAAATGTGAACATTTTATTGGTCAAAAAAAAAAGTTTTTGGGACATCTAATGAAGGACATTTATCAGTTTTGTGTTATTTGATCTGACCACATTCAAAGAAGTATATGGTTGAAGGTGAAATAGTGGTTTGAGTGAACCTGATGCATTATACTTTCCTGTTAAACCTTATTTTCCAAGTCAGTCAATTCAATATCTTGATGAGTGTTTTGACTGGGAAGTAAGCGCTACAGCAACGTTGCATTCTTTGAGTTATAAATTATGCTTAGTGCCTGTTGATTTTGTTTATGAGTTGATATTTTTTGATATTTTCGGCTACTAAAACAGTACGTTACAGCTGTTGAAATGAAGAAAGAATAAAAAAAAATGGATAAAAAGGAATGTTTAATGTTTATTTCGATGGGCTTTGCAGCGTCGTGGTTGTTTTTTATTTGCCTGTTTTCACAAACGTTTTTTTAATTTGTATAATCGTTTTAGCGAAGACTAAGCTATTGCCTGGTTTTTAAGATAAGCTTATCTGTGTTGGCTGCTGTCGCTGCTGCTGTTGCTACTGTTTATACTATTTTTGGGGTTTTATGTCTGCCCCACTTTCTCAGTGTACCTATCGTTGAAGTTTTTTCTATTTTTTTTTTCAGCTCTATTTTTGTTTCAATTTGGCAAATTGTTGTTTTTGATCACTGTTATCAAAAAAAAAGATGGAGATTTCGAATCAAGCAGATTGACGAATTTGAATCTTGTTTCAAATTCGAATACATTGTTTTGTTTAGTTGCAAAAGCATCAATCGTACGGTGGTCATAGGGTACGCGGTAAAAGTCTGTAGTTTGTGAGTTCAGAAAGATATAGGAAGGGAAAAGGCCAAGAGTGCAGTTCTAGGGTTATTTATTTAAGGTTTTTTTTTTTT